ACCGTGAAGGCCAACAACTTGATCATAGCGATGTAGAAGCACTTGAAGCGCCTGATGGAAACGTTCCGTAGGAATGGACGTGAAGAAGCCTGACAAGTCTTGCGATACCAGGTGGATGTACTCATCAGGATCTGCTTTTGACAGTGCTTCCCATAGCTGCTGGATAAGTTCTTGTACTGAAAGTTGACCTGCAATGTCGGGGAAAGCTGCCTTGGTGAGTTCAAATATGAGCGCACCGAAGACCGTGAGGAAGGGAGCCGCCCATGTGCGAAAGAATGAAATGATGGGTCGAGCTTTCTGCCAGTCCTTGGTCGGCTTTGGAAGGATGCGCGCTGTGGGCAACGGTGCTTGAAGTCGAAGTCCCCATGCGTATCGTTGACGTAGGAGAGAAGGTACCGTGGTTACCACTTCAGAGCGAAACGATGCTGCGGATTCGCGGCAAAGTGAGAAAACATCCCCCGCGCAGAATGTCTTCCGCATCAATATGGCAAACAGGGACGGGCACACTACATGTGCACGGGAGGGAAAATGATCCGCTGGGATAACTACCCAAGAAGACAAAGAGGCCACAGTGCGTTGCAACGATGCCGATGACCAATAAGCCTGATCTTGGAGGTTGATCCGATGGGTCTCCATTAACTGAGCCACGACCGGTTGTAGATCTGGAAGTAGATCGGAACCATGTACATGCCAGCGTCGAGCAAGTTTGCGAAGTTGCGTGGTGTAACGTTGATGCAATAGGTCGACATCACCGAAAAACTGATCCTTCATTGAGGCGGCCATGATCTCCACGTTAATGTCCGCATTGATGCGAGAAAAGTCATCCACCATTACTGCGTGACCATGTGCACGGAGTAGATGGTGGTCATCGATGTCTAAACAGCGACACGGAAAGGATGTGTCAGGCGTCCATTTACGCTGCCATGTGCGATAGTTGTATATCTTGTCGCCCAATGTGGCGCTGCGGGTTTCCACAACCCGGATCTTTGGAATGAAAAGAGAAGGGAACAGATCCCGATGGGAAGCAATCCAGTTTTGTAACCATGTGCCAAGTAGCGCTTTCCAATTTTGGACATGCAGCGGCGGCAAAAGTAGCTGTGTCAGAGTGGAGGGTGGTTGCAGCCGTCGTTTGCGCAGTACCTGGGCGAGTAGCTTCTGGGCCTTGGAGCGGAAGGGTTCGTTGACAAATACTGCGAGCCGCAATAAGTAGTACAGCTGAGTGGGAGGGAAAGCGGCTGACAGTAGGTCACGCATGACTTGGAACGACGCTCCTGTATTCGATCCCAGCTGATAGAGGATCGAGTAGTGGGCTTGAATGTCATCCAGGGTGTCAGGTCGTAGTTGCCGTTGGAGATCCGGATGTAGTCGTCGTCGAAAGCGCTTGTGCAAGCCGATGGAAGTGGGCGTCGACAACGAGTGGCGTCGAAAATCTACAAGATGTTCCCGGAAGCCAACCTTGCGCAAGATTCTGTGTACCCAGGGCGCATTCAAATGCGGGCGTAGCAGGTATTGCCATTTGCTTTCTTGAACCCACACCGAGGAAACTGGAAGTCTGATTTCCACTGGTACAGCACAGAAGAGCCAGTAAGTATTGGATCGTTTCCAGTAGTGAAGCGCCGGTTCAAAGAAGGCATGCCGTCCACGAAGTAGTTGTAGAAATTTGCGACTGCGTGAGTGTTCACGACGTAGAACATCCTGATCAGTCGCCCCAACATAGTATGGTGTGTGCCATGGGGAAAGTCGAATGTAGACGCACGGTTGTTGGTGATGACCTGGATCATGTATGAAGTCGTAGAGGTCAGGAAATCGCGCCCGCAATGAGCGTAGATGTCGCGTGTCAGCGAAAGTTGAGTGCATGATTTCACACAAGAGAGAAGTCTTGTAGAAGTGAAGGACTTCGAAGAACGGCGGGAGTAGCCGTGATCCTGTGAAATGAGACGTTGTAAGAAACTGATCAATAAATAGGCAGCGCACCGACATCTGTGAAGTTCGTACCTGTTGGCCACGGTGTGCTGAGAGTTGGACATAGCGCAATTCGGAATCTGGAGGGCTATCCGGACCACAACTAAGACCTCGAGGATGAGACCCAGCCACGGCAATTGTGTGATGGATTCGTACTCCTCAAGTGGAATCGACGGTGGTGGTAGTCCAGGGAAACAGTAATGCCAGCACGTCGAGAATGTAGTCAACGAGTGCAGAAGGTCGTCCAGCGACTGCCATTGTGCAACATCATCATAGATTCCGCAGTGGCGAAGTTCATCCAACATGGTGAGATGCAACCAACGAAATCTACCACAAGGCGGCGACATAAATACAAGCATCTCAGACAATCACACAAGAGGCAACGCAAGAACAAGCAAGTACAAGATCAATCATGTGCAACGCAAACACTTGACGGACGAATTTTCACCTGGACTCATCCGTGACATTGTTGCCGCTCCGGGCTCATATGAGATCGAAGGTCGAAATGATGCCTTCTCATCCACAAAGCAGGCGAGCGGTCACGATGAGGTGACTCAATGCCTTCTCGGTGAGTTTGGTAAGGTACCCGGGTTCAAGACCCCATAATGCTGCCATTGCACCGAGTGTGGGCGCATCGCCCTTCGGCATGCGCTGCCTGGCCTGAAGAAGCTGCGTCGCCATAGAATCTAATGACTTGTTGCCGTTGAGCCGGGACGGGTGATTGGCCCACTTAACCAGCGACGCCAAAGTGGTTGTTGTGGGTGCTTGCTTGAGGAAAAGGCGAGGTTGGTCACTGGTCCATGTGTAGTACTTGACAACTTCATCCGGCGTGCTGTGCATGGTGAGCAACTGTGACGCCGCCGGTTTGGACGGCGGTGACGACACTCCGTGAAGAGACTGCATGATCCGAGGTTGCACCACGCTATCAAACGACTTGCCATCCAGGGCGGCCGCGCTGGCTGTGGGAAGGGAGCTGGCAGGTGACGAGGATGGTGTGTGGTTGACCGGTGGCGGTGTAACCAACTCTGCATCATCTTTCTGGTTTGTCATCGTGGGCGAGGTCGATGCGCGAAGTGATGCGGAATACTGAGCTTGGAGAAGTTCATGCGCACGATTCAAATCATTGAACTTCTTGACCATGTCATCATTCTGGGCAGCAGGTGCGAGAGAGGTGTGATGTTGTTGAAGAAATTGAAGTACCAGGTTGGCCAAATGGTCGTGGACCTTGATGCGCTGATTGAAGTCATCAATGTTGAGACCCAGCGTGTTGGCAAGGTCCTTTTCCAGGGTGAGCAGGTTGAGTGACTGCGATCTTCGTAGTAATTTGGAGCAGGTACTCCAAAGTAAGGCCTCAGTGCGAGTGCGAAAGCCTTCCCACGTCACGAATCGGCCGTGTGCAAACGGCCTGAGTAGCCAGTTGGTGAGGCCCCCGTGGATAACCTGAACCAGGCGTACGTCCCTAATATCCATGCCTGACATGTCGCGAAGGTTGCCATGTGGAGTGTTGGCAACAGTCATGGGCAGGCTAAAGTTGTAGAGTTGGTTGACATCAAACATGCCGTCTGCAGGTGTCCAGTCAGGCGAGGGAGTAAGCCAGGCTTTCTGAGGACGAACCGGTAGAGCTGTAGGAGGTCCAGGTGAAGGTGTAGGTGTAGGTTGGGAGGTAGTGACCGGTGGTGGCATCATTGGTGGCATGAACTTGGATGGCGTGGGTTCAGGAGGGATCGGCATCATGTAGTTGATCGCCGGGTATTGGAATTGCTGTGTGGGGTTGTGAGTCGATTGAAAGTTGGTAGGCACCATCGGAAAGTTGTTGGCAGCGTTGTAGCCGGAGTTGTGTTGCCATGAAACCAAGTTGTTCCAATCCATGTTCTCCGAGACCTGGTTGTCATTGTGTTCGCGTCGGTGTGCTTTACGAGCTTGAGGGGAAGGACTCCGATCACGTCTGCGTCGAGTCCTGGATCTGTCACGATCATCACGTCGAGACATGGTGACGCAACTAAATCGGAATTTGCACACTTCCACCTTGAGAGAAACGAATCCGACAAAATGCAAGTCAATGCAAGTTCAAGTCAGCGGCGATCAGTAGCAAGTCAATGCAAGTTCAAGTCAGCGGCCATCAGCAGCAATGGTGATAGAAACGAATCCGACAAAATGCAGGTCAATGCAAGTTCAAGTCAGCAGCCATCAGCAGCTATGGTAAGAGCAACGAATCCAACAAAATGCAAGCCAATGCGATTCAAGTCAGCAGCCTTCAGCAGCTATGGTGAGACGTCGCTATGATCTGACAGCTGTCTTCCCTTTAGTGAAACCTCGTTCCTGGTTAAATGTGAAATTCCGCTGTTCTATGATACGCACGTTGAGGTCAAATTTTCCGACAGAGCCGGCCCGGGGTCACACAATGGGTACACCCGAGGATTCCCCACGAATGGGGTGTACACACTTGAACTCCAGATGGAGAGTGCTAATCTTTCGAGTACAACTGATGAGTCTCGAGTACAACCGACAAGTCTCGAGTACGATGAGTTTCGGCTCGCAATGCACTTGGCTTCCCTGTAGGTACTTTAACAGGGAAACACAAAACAACGGCGGTTCAGGGAGGGGACCAAAAGGACTTTCAGCAACATCACGACGCAGGTACAGGTGTCCACGTCTGGACACCCTTCCCACCTTTGGCAGTAGCTTCATTGCGTGCAGTATGCCAAAGGTGCTGCACGCCCCTGCTGCGAAATAGAAAGGGTGGTGACAGGGCATTCTGTCACTCCGCACACACACACACACACACACACACACACACGCACACATGCATGCCTGTCTTGAAAGTGGAGATTGGTTCCTGTTTTCTTTTCCTATTAAACAACTAAATGCGAAAACGAATCGTTTCCCCGAGAAAAAAAGGGCTTATAAGGTTTTCCACGGCATCCCCCCCGCATGTCCCCCCCCCAGAAAAGAAAAAGAAGAAGGGGAAACAAAAAGAAAAAGAAACACGGCTTCGAGTCCCGACGACTTCGTGGCGTTGCCCGCGCGCTCCGAGGCGCCGTTGAAGGAGCCCATGATCGCCATCGAGGAGCAGCCCCGAGGCTTGCAGGGCGCCATCTGATGCCACACGGATCCTCAGCCGTTTCGAGCTTCGAGCGGTTGGGTTGCCTGTGCACATAGGTGGCCTCGTGGCAAAAAATAGATGGCCCTGGTAAATGGGGCATAAAACCCATCTAAACCTATGTTTGGCCAAACTGACCTAAAAAGGACACCCATGCCCGGGCATAGAACCCACACAAAGCTGACAAACACCTCCAAAGGCGGGGTGCCTATTTTTGCCCAACCAACCAGTTGGGTTTGCACAAAGCCAGGCCTCTCTGAAACTTGCCTGGCCTTGGGCAATGCAAACCCGTGGCGCCCAATCTCTGCCGAGCAACTGCCATCGTCCATCACTTCAACCTGGAGGTATCTCAATCTTAGGCCTTTTACCTCAGCATGTGGCCTGTTTCCGCAAACAAAAATCCGCCCAAGTTTCATCCGCAAAGCAAAGGGATGCGAAGGATCTGAGATACGCCTCGACAAACCAGCTCTTCACAAACATCTGGATGTGTGTCGTTTTTAGGGGACCCCCAAAAAAAAAGAAAGAAAAAGAATGAAGATGTCCCTTTTGGTTTTCGCTTTAGAACCAACAAGAGGTGGGGCGTCTTAGAAAAAACAAACATCCGTCTACGTTTGACTATGTGGGCCCTGGCCATGCAGTGAGCCGCGGGTCCTTCTTTGCTGCCTGTGCTTTCGTGCTCAGTGCAAGTTGTCCGTCGCCGAAACCAGTCGCGGCTTCGGTGACTCGTCCCATTTGTTTTGTGGTTTCAACCACATGGAAAATGGCTTCCCAACCCACAGGAGCCCCAAGGCTCCTGATAAAAGTTAGCGGCAAGATGGTCGTTTTGACAGCTGGCGCAATTTGTGGTTGTATGTGGCACGCTTGCAATAATCGGGGAATCAACCTTAGCAGCAAAACACCATGGAAGACCCAGGGCGGGTGGTTCCTAAGATTGAAGACCCATACAGTCATACAAATTGTCAACCTACCTTTCCCTTTTGGCAACCAGGCGTGTTTGTCAAAAATAGGGTGTCTTTCCCCCTGTGCCATCTTTCAATGTCCAATTGATGCCGGTCAATCAATTTTCATGGCGATTCCAACTAAATATCAATGACTGCGAGAGGGTCCCATCCACCCCCCGTCTTTTTTCGAAGCCCCCGATTTCGAACCCGGAACTGCCTGGTAGCCCTGACCGGGCTTCACAGAGAGGTGCGGCAGCCCAGTGGAGTGCCAATCCTCATAGTTGTCGCCCACCTCGGCCATCGGGCTCTCACGCGGATGGGCCGTGCAATTGCTAGGTGCGTCGGTCTCGACGGACGCAAATCCAGCAACTAGGCTAGGTCCTCCAGTAGAGAGGTTAGAGTAAGGGTACCTTATTTTTTTCTGTCGTCTATTTTGGTAGGGGAACCCTCCCCCAAAAAAGGGTAAAAGGGAACTACTCGAGGACCTAGTAGGTGTTCCCTTTGGCTTCTCTTTAAGCCAACTTTGAAAAAGAGAGTGCCCTCAAATATAGCAAGCAGACCCTTGTGTCTCTTGACTTCTCGTGTCCAAATCCTGTCCCGAGTAGCCATCGTCACCTCCGGCGTATTCTGGCGCGCCGACCGCAGGATCTGCGTGACCTCAAGGCCCCCCCAGCCCGCTTGCTTGCGCACGGGCAAGCTTATCTAAGCCGGGAAGATCTACGCAATTGGGTCTGTTGTTTTTTTTTCTAGGGAGCTCCCCAAAATCGTGGTTTTCCTCTGGGATTTCCAGAAGAAAAAAAAGGGGGTACCCATAAACCAATAAACAAGTACACCCAAATTGCCGGAACTCAGCAACCATCAAGAAATTATGAAAGCTTCAGAAGTTTGACTAGATGTTCAAAATGGAGTTCGGGAAAGAAAGAAAGTATCGTTGCTTCTTTTAATTGGCCTGCCCCGCAAATTGATTGAACAACCAATAGAAACTCAAGGAACACGCAGTTTCAGTTGTATGAATTTAAGACAAATGCAAACTGATTCAATTGTGTCCTCACTGAAGTATATTTTAACGCGGATTACCTTTAGTCAACATCGTATTTTAAAAGATGTTCATACTCAAATTCGGAGTTGAGGTAGCCGTTCTCATTGATGTGTTTCCTTATGTTTGTTTTGGCAACTTGAGGTGTCTACACTTTCCCATTCGTGCAAAAGACAGTTTTCCAAGCCAACAAATCAAAATAGCATGTAGGCACAGCTGAGAATCTGGAGCAGTGGTGTCTTGCATTTGTTTTTGGAGAACGTGAAGTCGTCACGCGTTTACACAATTCCCAAAACAAAAAGAGGCAGACCCCATGTGCACTCAGGATCTGGAGCCATGGGGTCTAGCATCTTGTAACTCTCTTGTTGGAAAGCTCGAGGTGTTTGGTTTTGAAAGAATGCAGGTCCCACAACGACCAAACTGCGTAAAAGATTCATGAATGCCAAACTCATGCACGAAAGCCACAGAAAAGGCCAAGCGGGAGAGAAAAAGACCGGAAAGACAACAGCGCCCCACACACACAACCTCCCGGCACCGGCTTACTCCATTGTAAATTCTATACATCAGTCCAAAGGTCTCTCAGAAACGGAGGTTGCGCACTCACTCAAACAAGTACATCAAGTACGCATCAACTCAGCCAATAAGCTATCACCACGCCACCATTTGTGCATTGGTGTTGCGATTCCCGCCGCCCCCAAGAAGGGACACATCCTATGCAAGGTCTCTCCAGTGGTGCCAGCCCCTGGCGAGCCGCCTGCGGGGCAACGCAAACATTCAATCGGGTGACTTTCCTGAAGTCATCTCAAAAAAATAGAGCACGGCCCTTGCAGCCTCGCCCTTGGGTCTCTGGCCATGGTCTTGGCGTTCTGCGCACGGGAGGTAACCACCTTCCGAAACCGAACGGGCAAGGACAGACGGAGAAGGAGCTCTACCGGGGTCCCAACCACTACTTTTGGACACTTGGGATTTTGGGCATGGTTGCAAAAGCAGTTGGGCGGTGCTGAAACCTTTTGTATGAACAATACCTTTTCCTTTCCAAAGACCAGAGCTCCGCTCACACATTGCGCTTCTTTCGCGTGTCTCAAAATGTTGGTTTGAGAGCAAACTGAAAGCAAATGCGCAGCAAGCTACCCATGCAGCAAAACATGCAGTGTGATTGACCCTCAGTGGTCTTGCCACTCACCCGCCGCACAAGGGTAGCTGTCCGCTCAAAGTTGATAGTCAGTCAGCTCCTTGATTTTTCGGCCCGTCGGCTTGCCAGCCAGCCAGCCAATCACGCAGTCTGGTAAGCTGCTAGTGTGCCTGTCCGTGCTTATGTGCGCACATATTTCCTACATAGATGCTTCAGATTTGCGTGCCCCACCTCTGACTTCCAAATAAGGCGCGTCTTTTATGGCTATTTGTGAATTAATTCAGAACGTGAGTGGAAGGGGATAAAGTGATGGGGTCGTTGTCATCAACGCAGAAAGGAGTCCAGTACAGATGCCCTGAATATCATTGAATACGGCAAGTCAACCTGTCGGATGTGAAATTGTGCCCCCCTCACTCCGAGCCTGGGTGCCGTAAAATCTAATTCACGAACCGCCTGGGGGCCAAGAAATGGGCCCGCAAAGCCAACCGCCTGGCCCCATCCCGCCCTCGCTCTGCAAGGCGCGTTCATGCCAAAAGCTGTGGCATGGCTGTTCGTCCCGCCGTATCCAAAGCCACTGACACCGACCTTGGCTGAGCGCCGTTTGGCCAAGGGACAGGAGTCGCACGTCGCGGATTCGCCGACTTACGCGCTGCGACTACTTCCCAAACAAATGCTGGGTAACGGATTTCACATCTGACAAAACCGTTCGTTGGCTCGCTGCGCGAACAAAAGTTAGACCAATGGATGTGAACAAAACAGTGGCAAATCAACAGGGCAGTGATCTTGGCCCAATTCGCATGAGAGAATCGGAGCATGTCATAGAGGCCTTCACAGCTCTCTTGATGGCATATCGGAAGAACAAGTCCGGGATCCAACAAAGTGGTAGCTCCCAACTTGGGCAGCTCCACGCATCGCTTTTGTAACCCTTCGGTGTTACAGGAGAAATTATCATGGCCAACCGCCCAAAGGGAACATACCCTCGAAGCGATTCGAGCCAAGCGTCATAGGAGGCCTCGTTCTTCAGTGGTGCCGCCTCTTGCAGCAGAAAGGAGGGCCAGCCTCGCCGAAGGATGGCCCGAAATATATGTATATATATATATATACCAGTAGAGCCGGCGAAGCCGGTGGGCGGAAGTTTCAAAAATATAGAAACTATAGTTCTCTTTCTCTTTCTTTTCTTGACTCTTTTTCTCTTCTTCTTCCTTTTCATTGTTTCATTTTTTTCCGTCATTATTCCTTTCTTCCTTTCTTTCCTTCCTCCCTTCTTTCCTTCTTTTTATCTGTCTTTTCTTTCTTTCTTTCGTTTGCTTATTCTTGTGCTGTTCTTTCTTTTGTCTCTTCTCTGTCTTTTTATCCGTCTATCTATCTATCTATCTTTCTCTACCTATCTATCTACCTAACTACATATCTATCTATCTCTCGTGTTATCTATCTATCTGCTTATCTATCTATCTATCTATCTATCTATCTATCTCTCTCTCTATCTATCTTCTCTATCTCTCTATCTGTCCATCTCTCTATCTATCCCTCTATCTCTCTCTTTATCCTATCTATCTATTTACCTCTCTATCTATTTCTCTATCCATCTACCTATCTATCTACCTATCTACCTATCTATCTATTTCTCTATCCATCTACCTATCTATCTCTCTATCTATCTATCTTCTGTTTGTTTATCTATCTATCTATTCATCTCTCTATCTCTCTTTCTTTCTATCTATCTCTCTATCTTTCTTTCTATCTCTCTATCTCTTTCTCTATCTCTCTTTCTTTCTATCTATCTATCTCTCTATCTCTCTTTCTTTCTATCTATCTATCTGTCTATCTCTTTTTCTTTCTATCTATCTATCTCTCTGTCTCTTTCTCTATCTCTTTCTATCTCTTTTTCTATCGATCTATCTATCTCTCCATCTATATCATATCTGCACTCAAGAGTCACGATTTTCAAGCCCCGAAAGTTGACTTCGCGTACTACTTTCGTACTTAAAAGTTGCGATTTTCGAGCCCAGCTGCGAAAGTGGACTTCACGTACTACTTTCGTACTGAAAAGTTGCGATTTTCCAGCCCCAGCTGCGAAAGTGGACTTCACGCACTACTTCTTTACTTAAAAGTTGCGATTTTCGAGCCCCGGCTGCAAAAGTTGACCTTGCGAAAAAGCTGCGCGTGCCAGGAAATCTTTACTTGACCCTGGAAGTGCTGCACCTGCCACGAATTCTGCACTTGACCTTGCGAAAGTGATGCGCCTGCCACGAAATCTGCACTTGACCTTGTGAAAGTGCTGCGCCTGCCACGAATTTGACGCTTGACCTTGCGAAAGTGCTGCGCCTGCCACGAAATCTGTACTTGACCTTGTGAAAGTGCTGCGCCTGCCACGGATTTGGCACTTGACCTTGCGAAAGTGCTGCGCCTGCCACGAAAATTTGTACTTGACCTTGCGAAAGTGCTGCGCCTGCCACGAATTTGGCACTTGACCTTGCGAAAGTGCTGCGCCTGCCACGAAATCTACGCTTGACCTTGCGAAAGTGCTGCGCCTGCCTTGAAATCTGCACCTGACCTTTTGAAAGCGCTGCGCCTGCCACGCAATTCAAACCTTGAGAAAAGTTGACCTTGCGAAAGTGCTGCGCCTGCCACGAAATCTGCACCCGACCTCACCAAAATGCTGCGCCTGCCACGCAATTCAATCCTTGCGAAACCTCTGCGTTGCCGTGCCAATGGTCCCGGCGCCAAACGTGATCCGAGACCGCTCCGAGCCCGCTCCGAGCCCGCTCCGACCAGACGCCGCGGACAGGCTAGCTTTCGCGTCTCCGGAGACGCCAATTCACGCACAGCGCCACGCTTTTTGCGACTTTCTCATCTCCGAAAACGCCGATTCACGCACAGGGCCATGTTTTTTGCGACTTTCTCTTTCCCCTGCCACACGCGCGCGCATTTTTCCTCGTGGGCTTATTCCTTCTCTTGTCATTTGTCTGAGAGAGCTAGCTTTCAATTAGTTGCCGTAACACGGAAGTTTCTTCTAAACTTCCTTTGATAATATGTATATATGTAAACGATAGCCTCCCATGATGCCATGAATTGGTGTACAAACAGCTGTTGGCAGACAACCCAAGCCATGTTTGGTGGACACCCTTTTTGGAAGGACAGGAAGACTAGCCGAAGACCACTGGAAGACCAAAAAAAACGAGCCCAGAGGTCCTCATCGGCCTTGACTTGCCACAGCTGGAGAGGTCCAGTTGCTCACTGGGCTGCTGCAAGCCCCCAGATCCCGCAAATGTTCGGGGGCCACCTCCTTTTGGTTCAACGGGAAAACCATCGAAGAACCAAGCGGATCGGCACCCGAAGAATGGCCACCTTGCTTCTGGTTTCCCTTAAAAACCGACCCCTTAAAAGGGTACCATTCCTTTTAAAAAAAGACAAGGGGAACCACACCCATGCGAGCCATGTCCACATCCGCAACGACCCCGAACGTCTTGGACACGCCTTCAATGTCGAGGTTGGGGTTCTGAACTCTCAGGTGCTGGTTGCCTGCCGCCTCCGCGTGCATGCAGGCGAGGATGCACCTCCGAACCGACATGGGCCGGAAAATGAGAAAAACGCCGTGCGATTCACGCAACCCCACTGAGTGCCCAAAAGACCCAAATCAAAGGCTAAGCTTTTGGGGCCATGACTCAATGACTAGACATGGACAAAAAAGGGAAATCAAAGGTGAAAAGGTCGGCTTGGGGCCAGTGAGCGCTGGGCGCTGCTTTAAGTTAAGTGGCTGGCTAGCTAGCTAGCTAGCCAGCAAGACAACAAGCCAGCCAGCAAGACAACAAGCCAGACAGCAAGCCAGCAAGCCAGCAAGCCATCAAGCCAGCAAGCCAGCAAGCCAGCAAGCCATTAAGCCAGCAAGCCAGCAAGCCAGCAAGCCAGCAAGCTAGCAAGCCAGCAAGCTAGCTAGCGAGCGAGCGAGCCAGGAAGCAATCAAGCAAGAAGAAAAACAGGAATAAAGACAGAAAGAAGGAAGGAGGAAAAGAAGGAAAGAAGGAAAGAAGAAAAGAAAAGGAGTAAAGAAGGACAGAAGAAAGGAAGAAAAGAGTAAAAGAAGGACATAAGATAATAAGGAAGAAAGAAAGGAAGAAAGAAAGAAAGAAAGAAAGACGGAAAGAAAGACAGAAAGAAAGACAGAAAGCAAGAAAGAAAGAAGCACACCAAACCGACCACAAAGATATGGACACCCAGAAATGAACACAGAACGGGCGGAAATGGACCCATCAGCACATCACTCGCTGTCTCAGCCCAGGAGCTTGCAGAAGGCGGACAAGCCAGCACCGCCCTCCAGGTGCCCGAGGTTGGGCTTGGAGCAGGAGATCATCACCTTGAATTAAGCACCAACCGAATGAGACCAGTCGTGGCCATGTTTTTCGGGCTTGCCCCGTTTTGAAAGGAAGTCTTAGGGGCCAAACAAAAAAAGAGAGGTTTTCCGGGGAGTGGCGTATGTGTTTCGAGGAGTTTGGATCAACATGAGATCGATTCGGGGGTAAGCACAATCAAGCTCACGGAAATCTCCAAGGGTTGCTCCATGGCATGGGCTGTTGTCTATCAGGAGCTTCGGAAAAGGGGTCGTTGCAAACAAGTCATGGGGCGGGAATACGGCTCAAATGAGCCACAACTCATCATCGAAATGTCCACAACCCGCATCAAGACTGCCAGTGGCTTGCTTGAGTAAAAAGATACAACCTCCGTAGCTTTTGTCGTCTGGAACCAGTTCTGGCAAAACTTGGATACTTCTTTGCGCAAGGCCACAAGACTTTGCCTGCAGCTCAGAAAGCCTTTCAGGGAAGCTCTTCCATTGAGACGGCAAGCTCAAGACCAAACCGCTCCGCGGGGGCATCTGAGTGGAAACAACAGATACACCGGAAATGAGGGAACCTTCATCGAGCAAGGTCGCCCCGTGAAGGTGAGGGCGCACAAATTCAAGAACCATGAACTACAAGAGGTTTCCTTTTTGCCCACTCGCAATCTCAGGAAGTCCATCTGACCAACCTAAATATACACACCTCAAAGGGTGGAGCATGGTCTGTCCACCAACAGCCCAGTTAAAGCCGGCATTTGAAGGGCTTGCGAATCTTAAGAGCCACCGCGCCTTTCGGGACATAGTATCTGCCATGGGAGCAAGGCATCGAACGGGAGTCTTGTGTTCGAGTTTATGGCTCAGGCGAGTGCGACCCACTGTAGCACAACAAAACGCCTCAACGACAAATGGTGGTCAACTGGACGCTGCCATTGACAAATGCCGCAGGCACAAGATTGCAAATCTTTGGGGCGTTGTTTCCACAAAAGGGAACTGGGCTAGTAACGAAGAGCTGGTTCCGTAGCTATGGTCCGCAGTTGCCTGTTGAATATAATCACCTCCACTTCCGAACAATGGAGCGCAAACCAATGATATGCATTTCTTCGCTCATGTGATTCTGGCATCTACCTGCTCTCCCACATCATCATGATAATGAAGCGCTGTTGCACCGCTAGATGCAAGGCGGAAAGGGGCGTTTTAACAAGCAAAGACCAACCAAACCATGCTAAGATTGCAGGCCATCTTGATCGCCTCTTCGCTTACTAGGTTGGTGACGTAACATACCGCCGAAGAAAAATATATCCAGACGATGTGACCCACAATGAAATTAGTCAGCTATGACCAGGTGCTAAATGCGCTGTGCCAGTGGTTCACAAATGCCGGCATCGCGGGCCCAATGCTCGTGACACTTGAAGTTTGCTAAAAACTACACTGACATGGATCCCCAACAAACGAAGGGACAACCCTCGGTCTAGACCGATTGCTCAGCCGTCGGCCAACCCCATCAAAAACTTTTTAGGAACCTTCTTGAAGCTGGCTACGACTTACTCGCAGTCCCCGAGGCCCGTTCGTCCCTGTAGGGTGCGCCGGATGATTGCAGGACACCACAAATCAGCACCCAAAAGTTCACGAAGCCTACCAAAAATGGCCGTGCACACCCACTCCCAAAAGACCAACGTCTCACCAAGCCATTGGAGGGGCGTTACCAGGAAAGTTCCAAAGATCCGTCGCGCAAAATGTTTTGCCAGGGCGCTGGATAGTCCCGGGGCACAAGAACCTAAGCCCGAAGCCAGGTCCGAATGCGCCCAAAACGTGGCCTTTGCAACATGAAAGAAACCCAACCAAGGAGGTTCCTCTAAAATAGCTGTTGTGGTACAGGACTTGTCAACGTTGTGCTCTGGAGACATGTCGCAGCATTTTGGTGACTTTTGGTTGAGCGTTGGTTAAAGGGGAAACCCAAGTACCACCCCCAAATTTAGAGGCATCCTCAACCACCTCCACCACCGCCTCAACCCAATCCCATGTGGTCCGAATTTTATTGCAAAGCAATTGCGCCACAAGAAAAATGCCGGCGAGTGCGTGGCTTTCGTGGGTGCGCCAAAAGACTCCACTCTTCCAGTGACCCCTTTTGAGCTGATGGGATCTGCCGGGCGACTCTCGTCATCCGCTTCCAATAAGTCGGCATGGATGGACCACACATGGTTACATGGTTGCTCAAGAATGCACGTAATGAGGGCCCCATGTCGCAACGTTCGAAGCACTGGCCATGAGCGCACATCTCTTGCACCCAAGATGCCACCGAGAACTTAGTCAGACTTCGCGGCACTCTTGCGCTTGAAAATCCCCATGGTTGAATGCAATGGGAATCTTGGAATCCCCCGTGTGAGTGAATACCACTATGAATCCTGGTGAGTGCAAGGCTAAAATGAACCCCTGAGCTGACCCTTTGATCAAAATCCAGCCTCTGAATCCTGAGACTACCGCCTTTCATGTATTCATGTCCCCGCCTTCGGCATGTAAGTGGGATCCCTGCGTGGCCGCGGCTCCACGCTTTTCTTGCAGTTCATTGGCCGACACCCGCCCTTGACCCGAGCGCCTTCTTCACGGCGGAGATCTCGATGGGATCCCCCAGCGAAGTGCCAGTGCCATGGGCCTCGTAGATGTCCATCTGGCTGGCAGAAAGCTTCGCCTGAACGGCTCCAAATCGTTGAAAGCTTCGCCGAATTCGTGGGATTGAGTGGCTCAACATGGTGAGCCAAACGCTTTGACCACGGGCCTCTTGACACGAGTGGGTTCCATTCGGATCGAGGGACGAACATGGGGACCATGAATTCACTCACGAAGCACACGCGTCCTGCTGTGCAACAGCTGCCCCAGCGGGAAGCTGGAAACGTCAATCACTGATATACATCAAGTGGTGCGGATCCTATGATACCCAAGGCATGACACTCTTTTCGAAAAAAATATGTTCGAAAACAAGGTGCTAACCACCGGCTGTACCAGGGTGACACAAAGCAACAGCAAAAAATCGAATGCACTGCCTTGCTAGATGCTATGCTTCATTCAGCCAAAGCTTCACACGGGAAGCCAAGCTTGGTTGCAGAGTCTTCAAACGGTGGACGTCGCTGGGTCAAGGGCGCAGTGCTTGTTCTTGCAAACGGAACTCTGCGCATTGACCGCTGCCCTCATGATACGCTCTCTTGTGGGCTCGGGATCCTTGATTCGTTGTTGCAACCCTGCTAGAACATTGCTGAACCAAAAGCCGCCCGAAGAAATTGAAGATGGCTGCCCTGTTTGGCTTCAACTCTACAGAAATGGCTGCATAAGATATCCCTTGTCTTGCATCAGGCAAGCATCCAAGCAGTAAGAGGCGTGCACACCTTTGTCCCTCTCGCATCAACCTCTCCATGAAGGACACAATGCAGATGCCTCATCGATATGAAAATGTCATACCTCCAAAGGGAGTCAAGCACTTCACGCCCACCTCCTTCCAACTATCAACTCCAAAAACCAGTCACAACCTGCAATCCTTTTCTGCTGCCATGTCCACACACAAAAAAAAACTGGCCACTTGTTGAAGGTCCCAAAAACGCCGAAAATTGGGATTTGGGTGTGGCTCAAAATTAAGCAGGAGGGGTTACGCAGGTTTTGATCCATGTTTCCACTTGCCAGGGCTCCATTTTGGTACCGCTGTTTTGAGCCACAGCCATTTGGGGGGGATGGACCCCGTCCTTTGCCCCCATCAGTCCCCGGCGCTCCGTTCCCGTCCGCACCTCCCCCAGCACGGCCCGCAGCAGGCGCTGCTGCGCGGGGCCGTTGGGCGCCGTCAAGCTCGCGGAGCGGCCGTCGGAGTTGGTGTGGCCTCGGCACGGCTCGCTCCGTTTCGCTGCAACCTAAGAGGTCGCCACCGAAACGAGCTTAAACGGAACTAGGATGTGTCGGATGTGGTTGTTTAAAAACAAAACAACAAGTGTTTAAGGCGCAATTCTCCTAGCAGCCCAAATGGAACTGGGGTGAAAGGCGGCTTGATTTTATCGCGCAGATTATCCTGGACAGCTATCCGTGCGGCGTGCCCTTGTCAAGGGGACACTATGAGGGGATCCTGGAGTGCCCTGACCAAAGAGGCGGCTGCCTTAGTAGGTGCAGGTTTGATCCCAAAGAACTGCACAAACAAATGTATAGAAAGGCGAGGGCTTGAACCAGTCCTCAGTCTGAACACCAGGGCAACGCAATGAGCCGTGCATCGGACCACAGGTTGTCACATGCACTTTTTTTGCCACTCAGAAGTCCAGCACAGGCCAGCATGGTGAAGGATGGCACCAGATGGGTCAAATGTCAACATGCGTGACAGCATCAAGCCGCCCTATTGGGGTTGGGGGGATGATCACAGCTGCCATGACACATGAAGCTTCTCCAGGACTGTGAATGAGCTACCCGTCCCTGTTGCTGTGTTGCCGAGCACGCATGTTGATGCATGTGCGTTGCGTCTGCTTCCGAACCATCTTGCTCGCTTGCGACCTCTCAGCCCAGCTGCTCGCCGCCACCATGCCGCAAATGGAGTCGTCGTCGCGGTCGTACCTCGTGGCTCGAGCGGTGGCTTTCATCCACACAGCCCTCGACAGGAGTGAGTTTAGTGCCATAGATGGACTAGCCTGTAAGAGGCCCCACATTCCTTTCTTATCAACATCAACCAAGATTTGGTGGAGGAATGAGAAGATAAAAAGAGAAAACCTATGCGAAAATAATACAACGATAATGTCATTACAAGAAGAGATAATTATAAAAATGAATATGTTCCTGCCTCTCTTCATCCGGTATGATTCCTGATCATAAAATGTCTATTCCAGATGCATACTGCCCAGCCATTGGTTGTAGCGTGCGATCATCACAGAAAGCCGCCAAGAGAATCGCTGCAAACATTGACTTCCCTTGTGAGGTAAAACTGTGAGCGCGATTTTGCGAGCACCCGCACCCATTCTCCTGGCTCAACACCGGCCTACAAATCGAATCTGCAGCCAGAACAAAAGATGTTCACAAGCCGCGCGTTACATCCAAACCCAAGCAAAAAACGAAGGGCATTGTTTGAAACGCAGGGAGAAACGTAGCAGGACTGCTTAAACGAACCACATGATCGTTTTTGAAAAGGAATCAGAGTCTGGTGCCAGCCGGTTCCCCATATGAAGATGGAAACCTGCGGGAAAAGAAACCAACCTAAACCACAAAAGGGGCCAACGCACTTCTGCCTAGTCAATGGGCCAATACAGAGTCGGCAGAAAAGGAAAGGGCGCGCGATGAGAGAGGCACATGCCAGACGTGCAGCCCCATCGCGAGGTTATCGCTAAGGGATTCTCTTGGCCACTCACTGAGTCTCACTGGCAACCTCAAGCCCCTCATGTGTCCACCATGAATTGCCCTGACTGCCCTCGAGGAAGCTCACCTGGCCTTTAATAGCTTGAGCCCCTGGAAACGTGATGTGGCCCAGAAAATGATGTCATGTTGTTGACCCCGAATTGATAATCCCGTCCTATTAATAGGGGCGTTGCCCCCCCCAAGAGACAATAAACCCCCAGACCCCCGGTCAAATTCAACCAGGGGGTTGTGAAAAATCCAGGGTTCCCATTGTAGAACCGAGGGGAAGACAGGAGGATCTCCATTCGTCAAGGCGCTTGCCCCGCGACAGCACGCAGGCGGCGCTGCCCTCCCCGCGACCGTAGCCGTCCGCAGTGTTGTTAAAGCTGAAGCAGCGCCCGCGAAAGGACAGCATCGCGCCTGAGAAATTTGTGCAAACCGAAACTTCTGCTGCAAAAGATCACCAAGGATTTGTCATATGATGGCTTGTTTGCTTGCTCTGAATCTGCCGCACAACGACCCTTCCATTTGATGAGCCCATCCTGCCTCACAATTCTTCGACCGCTTTATGGGTACGTCTTCTTGTTGAGGGTGCCCAGGGTACCCTGTTTTGTGGTTTTGAAGGAAAACCACAAGGAAAGCCCCACGATCATCCAAAGTAACTCCAAAAAGGGTGTGTCTTTTCTTGAGAGTAGCCCCCTTTTTGTGTGGTTTTAAAGGAACACCATGTTGGGGGTCCCCTAAACACTTCACGCACCCAAGAAGATCTGTGGACCCTAGCGCGACATAGCTAACAATTGCAATGTCGAAATAGTATGACTCGGGGCATATTGCGATATTCACAAATGAACGAACGAATCCGGGTCTCTGAGCACTGAGTGCACAACCTTTAGCGAGTTTGGGGGCGGCCAAATAAAATAAGCACAGCAACAACTTGTGTGTGTGTGTGTTGCGCTATTCACAAATCTGGAATAAGGAATATTCAGGTATACGAAGACGTAACCTTCTTCATGGAGCTCGCTTTGCCCTTGCTATTCCGGAAAGCTGCTTGCAACATCCTCCCCATCCAACTGCGCAGCTTCCGATACGCGTGCGTGCTGCGGCCTGGGTTGAAGGCTCCAAGCTGAGGTGTACTTCCAGGATTGAGTGCACCAAGAAATCTTACATGTCCAAGTCGTTCTGGCAGTGCGTAGTTCGTTACAATGTCGCAAGCCAATCATTGCTACTGCGCCTGCAACGCTCTGACACAGGCGCGTCTGCACGCAAGGAATGAGCTGCTGGCCGTGTGCCAACCCTTTGTGTCATGCTTTCCGCGGCATTGCGCATATCTTGAAGCTGGTGTTTTACCTTTGAATGAGGTGTCCCTGCCTCCGCGCAGGGACAACAACAAAGTGTCCCATGTGTGACCAAGGTCAACAGCTCTTGACCACTTTTTCTGTGGTGGGACCGACCATTTGTGGGCATCTCGTATTGCTATCGAAACGCCCAGGTCACGTGAACCACAAACATAAATCACAGAACCTGCACTAGGTAAATCTTGAGCATAACTTCGGGCAAGGGAGGCCCTTGCGAGAGGATCAACTTCGGAAGTAATACAAAAAAAAGGTCGCGATGACAGAAGAATGCAACTATCTTCGACACATAGCTGTGGGTCAAAAATAGGTACCCCAAATGGAACCTAGTAAGTGGAAACATGGACCAAAACCAGCGGTCCCCTAGTGGTTCAATGTTGACCCACACCCACATCTCAATGCGATCCTCGCCTGCGCAGTTGCCGATCCACGTGCTGGGAGACACGTTCAGACCTTAAGCCAACGGCGCTGGCAGTGAGCAGAAGTGAAGCCGGGGTGCACGGCTCGTCTCGCGTCAAGCACAGGAAGCTTGCTGCGGACTAGTGTGAAAATTAGGCCAAAACCTAGTTGGTTGACATCCCGCTTTTGCAAAGGCCTGCAAAGAATGTTTCATTCAGGGAATCGAAACAAAGAGTATGAGTATCATCACCATGATCATAAAAGTATAAGTAGAATAACAGTATAAGTGCAAGTATAAACAATGCAAACAAAATGATCCAAGTATAATCACCATACCAGTGTCCACTATGGCGCAATGGCCTGGATCCTGGGCACATGAGTCAGTGAGAACCTGCCAGCCAGGAGCTTTGGGAACACAGCTTGACCTGGCAGTGTCTGGATTCCACAGGGCGTTGATGAGACACTGCATCATTGTTTTCATTGGGGAGCGCTTCAAAGTCCTGAAAGACTGCGCTCCATGGATTTCATCCGCAAGCGCTTCAAAGTCCTGCAAGGTTGGATACACGCAGGCCATCTGCTGAAAGACTCAGGAGAATCCATGGCATATCCAGTGTCCAGGGCCAACAATTCCAAAAATAAATCGTAAAACAGCACAAGAAGACGTCCGCGTGATGCCGTCACTAGCCACAAAAAGGCAGGCGATCTCAAAACCAGATTACCATGCTCCTTTTCAAAGAACCCATCTTTAGTTTGAAACTGAAATACCAACAGCTTACAGGCTCACAGGTTTATAAGTAATACTTGCAGAATCCTCCGGATTCTAGCCCCGCACGTGGGCAGGGCGGTGTGAGACAAGGGAGTCTGAGCTGAGCGCTGATGCCCGCAACCACTGCGCCATCTAGCGGGTCCTGACTAGCCGGCGAAGCCAAAAGGAGAAGCAATTACTCAAGTCTGTGCGGCAAATAGGATGTGTGTTCCGGTGACAAAGACCCCCTGGCAACTCTCTTGCAGAAAGCAAATTGCAGAAGGTCGAGAGTGCGGTGGTGCCGTGGAAAAGCCGGCACGCGGATAAAACTTCACCCCATCGAAGACTTCGAAGGAACAGCGCAACGCGGCCACCATCAATCATCCGCCGGAATCGGAGTAGCACAGGGATGGCCGGTAAATCGAATATGTTTTCCAATGGCTGCTCTCCCCTAACACAATCCAGTCATCTTACATGCCCGTGTCAGGAACACGGCTCCAAACCAAAAAACTCCTCCAAATGCAGTTGGTCTCCGTGGGCAAAACTCCCTTGCGGCACATCCCGTCAAGCTCAGCTCTCGTGTGGGTGTCATTTTTTAGGGGTTCCCCAAAAATGGTGCGTGTTCTTTCGGTTCCCTTTGAGACCGAAAAAAGACAGGCCCACATAGAGGCACAGCGACGAGCTCGTTGCCGACTGATAGCCACCAAGGAACCCCAACTAGCCAGCCGTGAGACGCTGCAACCACAACAGCGGGGGTACCTGTTTCGAAAAACAGTCATCGAAACATAAGCAATCTCCAAAAAGTCGTAAACTTAGCTCGTTGATCCCTTGGCTAAAGACACTCTAAACTCCAAACGTCTATGCAACCCTGGTTGAACAACCAAGCAAATATGGCTTCTCAAAATAGAGCTATCTCCTCTCACATAGCTTGCAGCTGTGGCCTCTCTTCAACCCACCCCCATTTCCTCCCAAACATCGACACCGGTTGGGTCCGGGGGAGGGGGGGAGGCGAGATTGTATTTTATAAAGGACCGAAAATGTTTTTCTAGGCCTCAGGGGGCTGTTTTAGGCCTTGGGGGCTGTTTTAGGCCTTGGGGGCTGTGTTAGGCCTTGGGGGCTGTTTTAGGCCTTTTACAAGGGAAAATAAAGGCGTAGATCGGAAGCCTTGATATTAATCGGCATCTCTGAGAAGCCACCGATCGAGTCCTGGGTCATGAGCAGGTGGGTCTTGGCGCTGTGCAGCGCCACCAGGGAGGCGCTGCAGGCGGTGTTCACGATGAAGCTGGGGCCCTTGAGGTTCACGACGTAGCTGAACCGATTCCTCGGCATGGGGAAGAAAACGGGCGGCCCCACGGCGGCCCGGGTACGGCACAGGCTCTTCTTTTTTTTTGAGGGGGGGGGGGGGAAAAACAAAACAAGAAAATACGGCCCCTGCACCACATAGCCCCCTTTGTGGGGAAAATTGAAAAACACGGCCCGGGTGGATGAGTAAACCGGTAGGTCTACCAGGGCCCGGTGTTTGTTTCTCGCAACTGAACGACATTCAGACACACCCAAATGTATAGGGGTCCCCTTTTTGGTTTGGGGACACCAACCGGAAACCAACCGTCTGAAGGGCTCCAAATTTTTGGAGGCATCACTGGGTTCCATGGGGAAAACCGGGCGCCCTTTTTTGTTGGTTGGTTGATGTTAAAAGAGCACTCCTTCCCGCGCAACATGAAAGGGTGCCGCTGGGCAACTGGGTGTAGGGCAGGTTCGAAGTCGGGCGCGGCTTCACATAAATCCTGCAACATCTAAGCAGGTGGGGTTCCTCTGGGTTTCCCTTTTCACACCCAAAAAAAGGGGAAACCCTTCTGAGAGGCACCCCAACAAAAAAAAAAAAAACACCCCGGCCCCCTGTAAGGGACCCCCCAAGCCAAGCTTCGCAATGAAGGTCTCCGGTACGCCATTGGCAGATGGCGCGCGGCAGACATCCCGCCAGTCCTTACCGAATTTGAGTCTTCAACTCGAAGCAGTTTCCCAAACTTTACGGCCGGTTTGTTCTGACAACTAGATGGCACTGATAGATGACTGGAACCAGACAGACACCAGGGCCATCTAGTTTCAACCAAACCAACCTAAAAAGGACATGCTCAAGGAGTAATGAATTTACACAACAGTTTGATCCCATGTGCAAACTTACAAATGGATGTTAGCCCAAGAACCGGGGCGGGGCATTCCCCAATGCCTCAATGCATCTCAGCGGCAGAGCCGCTGATGCCCACGAAACATCCCAGGTGTGCCGAGTCCACCCTCACCTGAAAGTGGCGTAAAACGCAGCCATAAAACCGCAGGAGGGTTCCCTAGTTCTTGCATCGGGTCGTCTTCAGGGCACACCTTGTTTGTGGTCTTAAACTAGGTCCTCCTGCAGAGAGGTTAGAATAAGGGTACCCTTTTTCTGTAGTCTATTTTAGCAGGGGAACCCTCCCCCAAGAAAGGGTAAAAGGGCACTACTGGGGAACCTAGTAAAGAGAAGCCCCCATTTTGGGGGGTCCTCCTATTTCGAGACACGCCGGATGGGCCAATTTCTTCCGATGGGCGAGTTCTCCGCGCTTTGGACTTGCGTGCCAGTTTGCGCTCAGAAATCTCTCCGCGTCCGAAGTGGGTAACACTTCATCCCGTTGCTCGCGAATACAAAGGGTCAACAAGGTAGGGAGCTCCTGGTTGGTGTTTGACAGCAAATCAAACGCACGCCAAACATCTCCCCCTAGGCCCCAGAACTGTATGTACATAATTTAACACAAGCCTAAATGTATGGATAATTATTTCGAAGAACTGTTTTTAGGGGTATACACCGACTCTGGTCTTTTTCCTGGCTTTCTTGGCGCTGACCCATCTGGACCCCGACGCTCCGGCGAGCCTTCTCGCGTCGGAAGCCCGCATCGCTCATCGCCATCCAACCTCCGCGCTGCGCGGGAGGCGAGGCGGCGAAGCGCTTCGCATGTCGCGGTCCTTTCGGACCCGCCAAAACTTTTGGGCGAATGGACCGAAATGGAAAAGGCCAAGAGATGAAAAGCCTGAAGGACACCCACACCAATGTGACATGGCTGTGGCTCAAAAGCATGTACCAAAATGGCACCCTTGACAAATGGAACCAAAGACTAAAACCTGAGTAACCCCGGCTGTTTAATTTTAAGCCACGCCCACATCTTGCAATGCTGCAAGCCGGAGTAAGACGAACATACCTCTTGAAAGCTGCAGGAAGGGGATCTGGGAGCCATGTCTGACAGGCGGATTGTGCGGAGCATACCCAAGCTGTTGCCTGCTGTCAGTGTCTGTGGCTGGTCAAATAACCCTGAGTTGGTGGTTCGGATTGGTGGTTGGGGGACTTGAACCTCAGGCTCTTGTGAGTCAAGGGTAAACCAATTCTTAGCTGACCCTTAAGCTCCAAACCGCCAATGCAAACCACCAATGCAAACCACCAATTAGAGGGTGTGCAACACATCACCAAAACAGAGTTGGTTGAAGGCCGATCCTCCGAAAGTTTCAGGAGCGAAGTGAAAAACCGAGGGCTGCGAGTGTTGATGGTCCACATGAAAGTTTGTGGGTTCAACATGTCACCACGCGTCATGCTTGCCTGCCCTTGCATTGTCTGGTGTTGCTGATAATCTCTCACGCCAATGCAAATAATCTCACGGAAAGCACGCTCAACTTGTTCCAGTACCAGAAGTTCTTGCTCAACTTCCGTTGTGATTGAAAAGCCTTCAGAAACCCTGGAACAATAGAGGCAGAACTGGTTCCAGTTGGGATCTATCAATTTCCAGCCAGCCACGAAAAAACCAAACCTTGGGTCTGTTTCGTTCTAGGGGACACCCCACAATGGTGGTTTTCATGTTGGCTTCCCTTTACTCCTTTTTTAAAGCAACCTTTGGGTCTGCTTCTTTTGGCTTTCATGTTGGCTTCCCTTAAATAGAAACGTGCCCTCCAAGAACGGCCTGCCCGCCTGTCTCCATAAAGATCCTTTGCTCTGGGTCCATGCCGCGCACGTCCTGAGAGCCATCGAGCTTCCGGAAGACTGCCGAGCCCCGAGCCCTGAGTCAACCCGCCACTTACGGGTCCCCATCTTAGTACGGAGTCTGCAGAATCTTTTCTTCCACGGGGGGTTCTCAGGGGTCAACTTCAAGAGAGGTTCCAACACTTTGGTGGGGAGTCAGCGCATTTTAAAACTCGGTCTTTGTGCTTTGCGGCAGTTCGGTGATTTGCGCCACATGCTACCTCCAGAAAGGTGACAACGCATGGGACGCGCTGGCGAGGGTTGGGCTGCGCGCGTCCGTAAGGTCATCATCTTGCTGGTGCCAAGTAGAGAATGAACCAGGTTTGGGGCATGAAGGTTGGGTTTCACTTAAAGAAAACCATAGGGAATTGTTCTTAGGGGTCATTCCATCATTCCCTGCTTAGAGCAAGTGGGGCCCGAGAGCCATGCGGCGTTAGACGGGGTGTCAGGAAGCTTCTGAACCAACGTTCGTCAGGCCGGACACGTTTTTAATCGCGATCGTTCTGGGCGCCTCCTGTATCGCAAAACCGATAGCGATTGCTTTTCTACACATGCCGGCTCAGTGCCCTTAGGGGGATTGCTTTTCTACACAACTCGTATCATGATGCTTGGTGCCGCTTAGGGGGATTGCTCAGCTCGTACCTTATTACTTTGTCCAATCGGTGCAGTTGTTCCTCGGAAGCTGAGCAGCGTACCAGTAGTTGCTGACAAAGTGCGTTCAAGGTAGTGCCCCGGCACGTCACATAGAGCCTTTGCATGTCCGAATCACGCGGTGGTCAAGCGTGATTGCAGAAATTAGAGAAAAATAGGGCGGAGCGCTAGGCATATCCTTGCAAATGCAGTTTGAGATCATAGAGCTGAGCTGAAATGCAAACAGCGCGGGTGTTCTGCAGTCCCTCATATCTCACCCATCTCTGACACCCAAATCCTGTCCTGCTCCGGCAGGTTGAAAAAGGCGGCATCAAAGATCTCGATGCCCTCAATGTGACCCTGGTGACGACCTGACATCTCTGACAGAGTGCTTGCCCATCACATTCAATAGTAACATCACATCTTTGTTCGTCTGCGCATCGATTGACTTCAACAGTGACCAAGGCGAGGCGGTCTTTCGCAGGCATTAGGTCAATGATGCCGTGGCTTGACACGTGCACGTGACTGCATGTTAGAAGCTGCTGGCTTGTTGTATTGTGCCCCCTTCCCTTGGTCTCCTGAAAGGCAGACGTCCAGTTCCTTGAAAACAAGGCCGTTGAGCTTGTACTTGGGGTGGCTACTTGCTATTGCTACTCTCTCACCAAATGCTGATATATGCTTGGAACACATCCAAGCTCCTCAACGGTGGGCCATACAACAAGCCCCCTCAATAATCAGTGTCCGTTTTTGTTGCCGCTTGAACCTCCGACAACCCAGGGCCGCCAAGTTTTGAGACACACGCTATGGATCCCTGACAAGAAAAATGGGAGGTCCATCACGCGCACAGCTCAAAAACGTCCAGCTGGTCCAGTTTGGATCCCAGGCGTTGGCGCCCCCGAACCAAGCGGCAGTAACTCTTGAAGCTGCTCATGGCTCTCTGCTGATCCTGACGAGTCCAAATACGGGGGGCCGGGGGCGAGACTAGGGGAGCTCTACGTTGAGGGGTCGCTTTGAGGCATTGCCATGTCCCATGTGGGAGAGTGTCGAAAGGAGCTCAAAAGGAAACCACCCATTTTGGGGTTGCCATTGATGGATCCCGAAGCGCGCGCACTGGGACTATCCCTGGGACTCCCAACGTTATTGCTACTCATCCATTCCGCCATGACCTTCACGCAAATCTATCCACAGAAACCTCAGTGACAGTCCGGCCACATGTGCCATCCTCCGAGTGTTCTTCTCAGGACTGGGTCTTCAGAGCTTCTCCGAAACAAAATCCCCTGGCCTCAAAGCCTTCAAAGACCCTCCAGGTGGTTTGTGGCATGGCTTCTAACAAGGAACCAAACGAAGCAACCGTTTTGGAACATGCCCAACGGCCTAGCAGATCCTAAGGCAACCGCTTGGGAAAGGTTGCGCAAGCTGAAAACTTGCCGCTGGGGCCAGCCCCTCCTCGTAGTCCACGTACTGATCCACATCAAACCTGAAGGCGCCAAACAAGACGTCCAGGTCGAAGCGCAAGCCGCGCAAGCCGCTTGAAACATGACTCCAAAAACGAAGCTCTCACAAACCAAGCAACCAAAAGATGATATTCAGAACAGGGGTACATGACTGTTTCTCAAAATAGGGGAGCCCCAAATGGGTTGCGGCCTTTTGGTGCGCTCAAGCCGCCCAAGAAGGGTCCCGAATTCCACGTTGAGAAACCCCCAAATGACTCAATGACATAGTGAGCACTTCTGCAAACACACGCAGCTCTCAGGGCGTTTGGCTTTATGGTTGCCAATCGTTTCATGGCCCATGATCCATGAGAGCGACTGACGCCTTGTGAATGCGACCAGCCGCCGCCCATATGGTACCCAAATGGCTTGCCCAGGTAAGTGGAAACATGGACCAAAACCTGCGGTTTGCCCCTCCCATTTAATTTTGAGCCGCCGCCCATATGGTAAGCAAAAGCTGTAATTCACACATCCCCGCTTGAACTCCTTCAGGATGGCAGCTTGTTCATTGGTTTGCCACTTGGGTAGTTTCGTCCTCAAGGGATTGCGAATCCATACACTTGGCCATAATCACGCATTCTGCCGGCGCCTGAAAAGCAACATGTGCATACTAGGCTAAATTAGTTGGAATGGGGATTTGGGGTACCACACAACTAAATCGAGTCCTGATGGGAAAACAATGCAAGTACTCAGCCCCTTGTTTTGAACAGATTCAAATCAGCTCCTTTGGCGCTGCAAAAGGATCTGGAGGATCGGAACTAAGTAAGGCCAAATGCAAACTTGGCACCAATGAAGGCCCTTTGATCACACTAATTACTCATGCGAAAGCATAACATAGGAGCCAAACGCATCTTAGGTCTTACCTGCCATATGCGGCTGGCAATGTCCCATTCGTTTTCGATGCTTGCGGACTGAAGTTGATGCTTGGATTGGCTCCGACACCTCTGCACTTGCATTCGCATCTGCTAGAATATCACGCTCAATTTCTGCCTGTAAAAATGCGGCGGATGCTCGAATTCACGCAACTTCTTTACGACACGGGTATCAATGCCAGCTTTACTCTGAGGTTTAGTCTCCACGTGTCAGCTCCCTTTGTCGACATGCGGCGCACGCCAATCCTCGGATTTTAAGTTCGCCAACAGTTTCGTCGCTCTCATTCTCGTCTTTATCTAATTGAGTCGAAATCCCTCTTTGACGCTCCCAACCAACCCAAAAAACAACGGCCGTGGCAATGCCATTGCTAGGTCGCCAAAAGCGCCTTCGCCCTTTCGCGGTTTTGAGGGTCCCTTTTTCTGGGGCTGTTCTAAAGGGAAACCAAGTTCAAGCAAAGAACACCTATTTGGCAGTGGGTCAAAAAATAGTACCCAAAATGGGGCCCTGGCAAATGTAACCCAGGACTAAAGCCTGCGGTCCCCTGGTGGTTTAATTTTGACCCATACCCATTTGGGTATGATGTGTCAATTGGGTGCCCTTTCATCATTTGCATGGAAAATAATGTTCGCCAACTTTTTATTCGGGAGTCCATGAGTGCCCGCGCGCGGGTACCGTCGCGCCTGGTCTTGGGGATCTCTAGGAAGCCGTCGCAGCCGCCGTGCCGCACTGCGGCCCAGAGCTTCTCGTGCAAGTCGGCCTGGTCAAGGAATCCCTGCTAAAAATGCGGGAGCTCTGTCAAACCCCATGGAAACTTATGGAAACCCCCAGTAGTGCCCTTTTGCCCCTTTTTTGGGAGCGGGTTCCCCTACTAAAATAGACTGCAGAAAATTTGGGTACCCTTATTTCTAACCTCTCTACTGGAGGACCTAGTATGGAAAGAAAAACCACTGGCCCTTTCAAACCGCCGACGGTTGGCCACCATTCAGTGCAGGCCAACGGGGGGAGCATTCAAGCCCAGCTCACATCGCACTTAGTCCTGGCATTTCTGGCACGGCCGGCCCAGATCTGGAATCTAGCATTCGGATGTTGCCGGGGGAATCTGCAAGCTTTGTACATCTGGATTGCATGCAGCTCGTGCAATGGCATGGTCACAATGTGCGGGCGTGTGGTTTTCGGTGTGTGCGCGTGGTTGGTGAGTTGGCTGGGTGGGTGCGATTGAGTCTTCGGCAAAGTGAATTTGAGTTAAGTTGAGTTAAGTTGAGTTGAGTGGAGTGGAGTGGAGTTGAGTACTATGAATGAGAGAGGCAACGAACGGGTGCACCAGTGAATCAGTGAATCAGCGAATGACTAAAGTCAAGTGGGGCGGAGTGGGGCGGAGTGGAGCTGAGTGGAGTGAAGGGTCAGGGGAAGGTCAGGTCGGGGGGGTCAGATTTTGGCTGGCGGGGCTCAAAGCGGATCATTCGCAGCCCACGCGAAAGGTCAAAACCAATCAAACTGGTTCGTATATTGAAACCGGTCCGTGGCTCTAATCAGACCGGCCCAGACCCAACACACGCCATACTTGACACTTGGTCTACGGGCAGCTGCTGTCAAGACATCCAAAAAGGCTAAATGAACCATTCAAGAATCAAACGGTCGTACTACATCCATTGCAATGCGCGGTTCTCATTTGCCACCAGTCAGCCCTCCAAAGTGGACTCGACAGTCGAACACACCTCGCCGTAAAAGGGTGACTCAAACAAATACAAGCTCCTGTCTTGCAGTCAAATGCGAAATCTTCACATGGTCAGGACACCCTACGCAGTGTGACACGATCAGCTGCAAGCAACATAGTTCGAGTCAAACCAACCCTGCCTCACAAGGATCCCGCGACGCCATTCCTGGAGGCAAGTCGCACTGGCGGCTCAATCGGGAGATGTTGATTTCGTTGCACCAAATTATAACTAAAGTAACACAAACATCCACGGAAGAATCCCCGCTTGATTCTGGTTGCCAGCCAAGAACTGGCAAGATCTTTCGGGCGGGGCCATTGGCCATTTTTGCGGATTCCCAACCACGTGATGAACAAGACAGATTGCCAGCATCAGGTCAGAGTGTTTGGGCGTGTCTCATTCGGACCCGCAACGCATGCTGTCTCCATCATCAGGCTACAAGAGTGGATTCCTGCAAAAATCGGTTTCTACTATGTGGAGACCTAGCAACAAGTGCTTTAGACCCTAAGCATCACCCACCACCTGGCAAGCCCAGCCCCGAAATCCGATCATTTTGCTGGGCTCCCTCTCGCCTGGCCTGGCACAGACAACACCCCTCAACATGAAGGGTCACTTCTGTTGGAACCATGACTATGGATCTACATCATCGAACACAAGTCTCTCACCCAGAAATCACCCAGCGCTCTCAAAATGGCACCTGCTCTTTCGGGAACTTCCGCTCCCGGTGTCCAAGCCAGGCTCGCAGCTTTGTGCACGACAATCCAAAGATGCCCCCCGCCATAGGTGTCCTTTTTAAGAAAATAGATGGCCCTGGTCAATGGAATAAAACCAACCTGAACCAGTGGAACCCATCTATTTCTGAGACCAGCAGAATAAGTACAACAGAACGTGCGCAACCCCTCGAAACCCATCGTCCAAGGAGCCCTTGACCAGCACCTGCTGGCCTTTCGGCACCAACTTGCTCTTGGGCAACTGCACCTTCCCAGCCTGGCCGCTTGCGATGAAATCTCGAGCGAGATGTCGGTATGGGTCAAAAAATATATACCCACCAGGGGACCGCAGGTTTTAGTCTTTGGTTCCATTGATGAGGGCTCCATTTTGGGTACGCATGTTTGACCCGCAGCCATGTCGCAAAGGAGACTGACATGTTCCCAGAACACGGGCCTGATTTTGGAAGGCGAAGCCGCGTTAGAGAATGTTAGAGATGTCCCTGCTTCTTTCTTACTGTGGGGATATCCGTATCACAGAAAGTGGTATCCCCACAAGAAGTGATGTAGTCAGCAACCTTCCAAGCTATGCACTGTCTCAGGCCAGGGCTCCTGGCGTTTCTGGAGTTCAAGAGAGGCATCCCTAGGGGCGCTCCCATCCAACAGAAGGTAACATGATAGGACGGTTCATGAGCAGCATCCTAAATCCTCCTGGACAGGGAGCTTGGATCTGTCCTTGAACGGACAATCTCCTGACCGCGACATGCGTCTTTTATGAGACCATGGGGGTTGGTTCAAAAGACACCAAAGGGAAACCATTGGTGGGTTTAAAGGGAAACCAAAACGCAAACCACCATTTTGGGGGTCCCCTTTACAGAAAACACACACACACACGAGCCACTTGTGGCACATCCCCCATTTTGAGAGCCCAACTGCCTGTTGAAAGACCATCTGCAAAGGTTCCTCAAGGAAGAAGCTCTGCAACACCAGACCTCGGCGCCAGTTCACAGGTCCCATCAATTTCTTCAGCGTCCGAAGGTCGACTTGGAAACAGCAAAGAGGGGTGCACAGAAAATCAGATCTTCTGACTCCACTCCATATTTTCCGTCAAATGATTCCAGAATGGCACGAAGTGTGGTGGGACTTGGGTCGAACTGTGCAACCCCATCAAGCAGCGGGCATCAAGCAGCGGGTTTTCCTGTTGGTGTCCTCCGAAAAGACCCGCCCTTCTGAACATGAGTTACCCGACACACTCCGCAAGTCATGGCCACGGTCCCTTCCTTGCTGCGCGGACATTACACGTGCGAGCCTGGGGAAGCGCGCGAATGATCATCCGAAAACGTTCAACTCATCTGCAAAATGTCTTGACAGCTGTCTTCACATCAGGAATCGCATTGTGCCATCACCTTCTGCCTCAAACAAAAGCTTGATTGCTCTTGACCCCCTGCAAAAAGTTTAACTTTTGGGGGTTTAGTGGAAAACCCCTTGATGTCCCAAAAAGTTAAAGTCTAAAGATCCAACCCAATAGCAGTCAAGAAAGAAGCAGAACATGCTGCGACAAAAGAGAAAGGCTTTCCCCCAAAGACTTCAACCCTGCACCTGTCGAGGAAGTTTGCAAGTCCCTATGGCGAAGCTGGCCTAAGCAGAAAGGTGAGAGAACTGGCCCAAAACACTGGCCATAAGGGCATGAAGGGGTGGTCCACTGAGCCTGCTCAAACTGATCCTGAAAGTGCAGCGAAGCATCATTCTCCATCTGGATCAAATTGGTAGTCATACCTGAGCTATGCGGTACACATGTCAAGTCTTTGAAACAAGTCAGATTTGCCTCTTATGTCTTGCCGACCACTGGACACTGGACCACCTGCTGTTGCATACGGAGCGTGCACAACAATTGCTCAAGAACATGCAGTGGCGCAAAGGCCACTAAAGCATGCACAACGAAGTAGCCCAATAGCTGGTTGGAACAATCGGTCCATCTTTCCGCCTCGACAATTTCTTCGAATTTTGCAAGCAGAGCGCTTGCATTGACCACCCCGCAGCCACGCCACTTGTCGGCCTTTTGTGCCGACAGGGTGAGGAATCACTGGGAGTCTCCACCTCTAACTCGGGTCCGAAAACCGAGGAGTGGCGAAACCAAAACCGGAAACAAGAACTCATACACCACCAAAAACAAATGACCAAAATGCCCGTACCTTGGCTTATAATATGACCAACATACCCATACCTTGGCTTATAATATATCAACAAATGACCCAAAATAACCATGCCTCGGCTTATAATATATCAACAAATGACCCAAACTAATCACCTTGGCGAATAATATATATATATATATATCAACAAATGACCAAATATCCATACCTTGCTTATAATATATCAACAAATGACCAAAATAACCATACCTTGGCTTAGAATATATCACATCAACATTCAGTTGTATACTTCAAGCAGACCGAGGTCTCGAGTTTTTTTGTTTTATCTTTTTCTGAGCCGCTGTCGGGTCAGGAAGACCACCTGCAGATCCACACAGGCGCTCATGGTGACCTCGCGGGGCAGGGAAACGCCCCGACAACAACCCGCAGAAGGAAGATAGGTGGCCGTTTGGAGAAACATCGAGGGTTTGTTTTCTTGTAAATGGGGCATACAACCCATCTAAACCAGTGGAACCCATGCATTTCTAAAGCAAATGCAGGGAAGAAGCCACTTCAACATGGGTCTACTCGCTGTAGCAGGAAAGTCCTTAAGTCCTTAGCTCAAGTCCTGTAACCCTTCGAGAGGACATAAGACTTGCTCTTTCTGCTGCACTGGCACATGACCCCATGTTGACCCAAAACAACCAACCAAAGGGCTCCCCTAAGTCCAATAGGCCCCCCAATCAAGGGCCTCGATGAAAAACAAGTGGGCTCTCAAATCGCCTCTTCGGCGTGAACGCGTGACATGGCTTGCGTTTGGGGAGGGTTTTTTTTGCAAAATCGAACATGACACATCCCCATTTGGGTATTTTTCGGGGGAAACTATATTTATATCACAAGCAATTTAGCGCCCAGCTTCGCTCAGGAAACGGCACACACCAAAGCCTTACGCCACTTGCAACGTGCACTGAGAGGCATTCCGCTTTCAAAGCCAGCTCACAGCTGGCATTTGGTACTGGGGACAGGAAGATGTTGGCCAAAATTCTTCGGCTTCCCAATGGTCTGCAAAGCCTTCTACAAATGCTGGTTCAAATCAAAGTTCAAACCGATCCTCTCAAGGAGAAACACCTTTGACCCCAACCAAACCCCACTTGATACGAACTACTTCCATGCCGCGTGTGCTTCTCTTACGCAAACATAATTCAAAAAAACGGCTGATTTGCGGGCCCTGCTTGCGTTCTGCAAAAACAATTGGTGCCCGAGTCCGAGAGGTGCACAGTTGACAGCCCGCAAGGGTGCTTGTGAACGTGCTTGATGCCAAGCTGGCATCCTGAAAAGAAAGGGGGCTCCCTAAAATGGCCCTAAAATAAGGGGAACCACGCTCCCCTGGCTGAAATTCACGACTTCTTTCAGCCCATGGCCGGAGCCGGGGACATCATGTCTCATGCGACTCTGTGGATGAACGGCTGAAACCTGGATTGAATTTAATCAAACAGGATTCTGTCCCACTTCCCACAGGAGAAAAAAAAACGGACATAATTCCTGGCGTTGGCGCTCCTAAAAACCCTAAAGGGCCTGCCCAGTTCCTGGCTAAAACGCATCCAAGAGTAGCACCTGGAGAAAAAGACCCACAATCAATCCCAAAGGGCCCCTGCTCCCTCACCCAAGAAACGGCGCGCTTCTCCTTTTGGCTTGCCCCGACCTCAACGCGCTCGATCGACCGTCGACCGATCGAACTCGAATTTCCCGCCTCGGGCTCCTCGGGGGCTTTGGGCAGCAGCCGCAGGGTGCCGCCGCAGGTCCCCAGGAAGCGCAGGAGGCACACGCGCTTCCGGCCCATGAGCGCCAGAAAGGCGTCCTCAGAGAGCGAGAGAGGCAGGCAGGCAGACAGACAGGCAGGCACGGACGGACGGACGGACGGACGGAAGGACGGACGGACACAGAGAGAGAGAGAGAGAGAGAGAGAGAGAGAGAGGGAGAGAGAGGGAGAGAGAGCGAGAGAGAGAGAGAGAGAGAGAGAGAGAGAGAGAGAGAGAGAGAGCTAGCTGGAAGAGGACTGATAGTGTTGAGAAAGATTCTGGCCAAGCGGTTGCACCTGGGAAAGGCAAAAAGGCTGTGGCTATATGGATGGGATGGGTGCAACTCATGTGAGGTTGCTACGTGCTTGCAAACCACGGGTTGTTGGCACCGCCTGTGCCTGGAACTGGTTGCATGGCTCTTTCCCCCTCAACAGTTGCGTGTAGAGCTGCACTGCACCTCAGACGCACACAGCACGAAGGAAGCACGTGAATACAGGAACTTGCTGTTGAGCAGAGCGGAAATTGTCCATACTGTTGGGATTTCTACACGCAAGTATGAGACTGTGACAAAGGGTAGATCTGACGCTTCTAAGTGTACAGTAGGCCTGCTTCCAGATGTCTCAGAGGGGCAGGCTCACATCTTTGATTTGATGGTGGGTCATTTCGACGTAGTTGCGGCCTGTTGGCACCCCCCTATGGCCCTGCATGCAAAGAAACATTCAATTTGTGGTTGAATTGCGTGAATGACAGCACTCCTTGAGGGAAGAAAATAACCGTGCTTCAGCTTGCCCCAGGTTCTGCAAATTGGTGTCAGGAGGCAAACGGCATTGCCCACAACATTTTGGTCTGTTTGTTCTTCTAGCCCAGAACCTGACACAAGGGGCCAAAAGCAGGAAACATGGTCTTCCAGGTAACGTGCAGGTTCCCTTGGTTTTGGAGAGGGTAACCCTCAAAAGAGAGTTTTGGAATGAACAAGCCACCACGAAGGATGGCTGGGTGCTGAGAACCAGCACCAGATGGTAAGCCGCAAAAATAGGAAAAATGAACACGACCCAACTCTAAAAAAGGGGGGGCGAAAACAAAAAACAAACAAGCAAAACCAGAAAGAACAACAACCCAAACAACTACAAACCAGAAGATAACAAAAGAACTCGCCCTCCAAATGCCCCCGGCCGCGTTTCTCTCCCTCGTGACCGCCGTGCTACCGAGGCGCCGCCTCCTGGGCGCTGGGTGCAGGCTGCGCCTCCGCGGGCTCGGCGCCGCTGAGGCGAAGCAGCA